TCTCCTCTACTCTTCATCACAGTCATGGATGCAGTGACGGAAGGTCTCAAGCGACAGCCTCCATGGGCTCCCCTGTACGCAGACGATGTGGTGTTGATGGCAGAAGACAGAAAAGAACTCGAAGAAGAAACACAGAGATGGAAGGACCAGTTAGGGTCGTATGGCTTGAAGCTCAATACAAAGAAGACAGAATATATAGAAGTGGGAGGTCAAACTTCAATATAGATCGACAAGAATCCAATCAAAAAATCGAGGGCCTTCAAGTACCTAGGAAGTTGCATCTCTGGCAAAGAAGGTCTTCAAGATCAAATATCTGCCAGGACAAACGCATCTGGATGAAGTGGAGAACCTTCAAAGGAGTTAATACAATAAGCGAATGCCAGTTCAACTGAAATCCCAAATATACCGTACTCTGGTGGCAGCGAATGTTGGCCCAGTAAGTGAAATGAAGAACACAAGCTTAGTGTCATGGAAACAAGAATGCTGCGGGACACTGGGTATCACCCTGCTAGATCATGTCTGTAATGACACAGTTCGTGCAAGGATGAAAGTTGCTCCCATTATTAGAAAAATGCAGGAGAAACGATCGCGATGGTCAGGCATGTGAGTAGAAGAGATGAGAACACATCACAAGAATGGCCATGTCTCTGGAGGTCGCTGGAAAAAGACCACGGGGAAGATCAGATGGATCGACAGACGGAGCTGACCTGAAAGAGCTTAGGTAGGCGAACATCATACCTTAAAGTGAGAATACTGGAGACAGTCGACTCGTACAGCAGACTGCGTAAGCGGGAAAATGCGAAGATAAAAAATCTAATTAAAGAAAATAAATTGATTGTCAGACTTGTGGGCTTGCTAGTGATATGGTAGGTATCCGAGAAAACTCTTGATAGAGAGAACGTATGTCTGAATCCTCGCTGTCAATCTGGTTTTTGATGTCTATCTGCATCCCATACTGGCACACTCAGTGTGATCGCATAAGATAAAATAATTACCCCAAATATAAATATGCATTTGGAACATTCTCTGCTACCCTCAAATGGTTTGTCTAACCAATCGTTTCACTCGCTTATCACAATTGATGGCCTTGAGAACAAAAAAAATTTCCATACGACATCCATAAGACTTCCTGCGAATTTTCTTCGATTATTTCTTTTACCACCTCTACGTACAAATTGTGTACAACGATATTTACAATCACGACATTCATGGCTGTAGAGTTGACTCATGTGATATTTTGTTTTCGTATTTCGAGTTTTGTTTCAGCTCCACAGCTACATGTAGAAATTTCCGCAAGGAATGTGATTCATTGCCATCTACGAATCGAAGAACGATGAATCGTTTGCGCCTGTTCTAAAAGACAACGGCCACGAACTTGCTGCAACTAGTCGACGCTGTTCTCGTTTCTTCAAAGTTTTCGGGTGCATATTACAAGGAATTCAAGGAGTGAGTATGGATAACCAGCATCCAACTAATGTCTTCTCTGCTTTCTCCTCTAAAGGTAAGATCCGAACGATTTCCTTTTTAACATACACCAGAAAATTTCAAGGAATGTCGGCAGAATCAACAATATTTAAATGTCAAAATGAATCGAACGCCTCCACTGGATGACACATGCATCCTTGTGTAAGAAAAATCGGATGGAAGCTTAGACTATAGCTTAAATGGAATAGCTTGCTACTTCAAACACTTGCACTCTCGAAAATGTTCAGCGTGGAGGTCGTTCACATATTCCA